TCTCTGCCATATTTTAAAGTTCCAGGGAGCCCCCAGGAGCGGCTCCTGCACCCCGTGACAGTCCCTTTGGGCTGGGGGGTCACCACGTGATGACCATAAGGTTTGCCCAATAGCTGCTGTGGCGATGGCTTCACTGACACATACAAGTGCCTGACTCTTCCTCCCACCCCAGGAGGTGGTGTCCTCCCTGATTTATAGGCAAGAAAATGGGGTCATGTAGCTCGTCACTGAGAGAGCTAGAATTTAAATCAAGGCTCTCTGATTCTTTTTTTTTTTTTTGAGACAGTCTCGCTCTGTTGCCCAGGCTAGAGTGAGTGCCATGGCATCAGCCTAGCTCACAGCAACCTCAAACTCCTGGGCTCAAGCTATCCTCCTGTCTCAGCCTCCCGAGTAACTGGGACTACAGGCATGCGCCACCATGCCCAGCTAATTTTTTCTATATATATTAGTTGGCCAATTAATTTCTTTCTATTTATAGTACAGACAGGGTCTCGCTCTTGCTCAGGCTGGTTTCTAACTCCTGACCTTGAGCAATCTGTCTGTCTCGGCCTCTCAGAGTGCTAGGATTACAGGCGTGAGCCACCGCGCCCGGCCTCTGATTCTTGTAATTAATGGTGACAGTGATAATAAGCTATAGTTGATGTTTATCATGTGCTTACTGTGTGCTGGCTAGTTTTCTCAGAACTTTGTATTGACTAATTTAATCTTCACAGAAACCCTATATGGTACTATTAATATTATAACCTCCATTTGAGATGTGAGAAATTGGAAGCAAAGGTTTATACGTTTACCCAAGTTCACGCAGGCAGGAGTGGGCAGAGTAGGGATTAAGTTGGTCCTATCTGCCTTTTCACCATGAAGCTACTGGGATGATCAGTCAAATTTTTCTTTGGCTGCAAAAGACAGCAGCGCCCCTCCCAATAACAGTGGTGTACGTAGAAGTTTATTTCTGTCTCACATGAATGAAGCCCAGCAGTGAGCAGCTCAGAGCTCAGGTGGCATCCACTGCAATCTTGTCACTCTGCCTTCCTCATTCATAGCTTTTATGCCACAGCCCAAGGTGGCTGCTTCAGCTCCACTGATTACATCTGCATCCTGAACAGTAGGAAGCAGGAGGGGCTGACGAGGGGTATCCCCTCCCTTTAAGAATAATTCCCAGAAGTCTCATGTGATCTTTCTTTTCATTTCCTATTGGTCAGAACATAGTCACATCACCACACCTAGCTGCACGGGAGGCTGGAAAAAGTGCCCCAAAACAAGGGCTCCCCACTCAGGAAGGAGTGAGTGGGTGAATGAATGTTGGCGCAGCCTGATCTCCCACAGTCTGGGCGTTCCTTAGGACACTCTGAGGAGGCACTGAGCATCAAGTACTGTGTTTCCCCGAAAATAAGATGGGCTTATATTTATTTTTCCTCAGGAAGACATCCTAGGGCTTATTTTCAGGGGATGTGTTATTTTCCCCTCAAAGCCTCAGCTTGCAGCACGCACCGGATGGCCGGGACCTGACAGGGGGAGCCGACCTTGTTGGTGGGGCTGCCCACACCTTTCCGGTCACCTCTGGGATAGCAGCTGTCAAGATGGGGCAGATGAGAAGGGCTGCTCATCTTCTTTCCCGCTCTGCAAGGACATGCATGGGTTGTGCAGATGAGCTGCATAGCCACGCCCACCACTAGGGGGCGTGGGGTGGGGCCTCTATTGTGCAAATGCCTACAAATCCTGCTAGGGCTTATTTTATGGGTAGGTCTTATTTTCAGGGAAACACAGTAGCTGCCTCTGACTCTACCATGCCGTGTGACCTACCCAAAGTCATCAGGTAATGGGTACAGCGGTGAGACTCTAGCCCACAGCACTTGTGTCCTTCCCCTGCCTCCCTGCCTCCATCCAGGGGCAGCCCGTCACTGGGTGCTGGGTCCTGCCGGGCTGGAACTCCAGCTGCTCAACCCACACCCCCACCACAGAGGCCCAGCAGGTAGGACAGGTCCCACAGGTGTGCTGAGATCCCGACCCAGTGTGGCGCCAACAAGGGTGGAGTGAGGCCTCCTCATTCAGCTGCCCGGGAGGGCTCAGGCCCCAGCTCCCAGGATGACACTGTGTGACCCTGGGCAGGGCTGCCCCCTCTGGGCTCAGTTCCCTTTCTTTTGAGGAAGGGGCAGAGGAGGAGTCATAGGATTGCCTTTTGTAATTACAAATTATTTCAGACTGTAACAGATACAAAGAAAGCATAACAACTCACACCTATAATCCTAGCACTCTGGGAGGCCGAGGCAGGCGGATCGCTCAAGGTCAGGAGTTTGAGACCAGCCTGAGCAAGAGCGAGACCCCATCTCTACTATAAATAGAAAGAAATTAATTGGCCAACAAAAAATATACAGAAAAAATGGTGGCACATGCCTGTAGTCCCAGCTACCTGGGAGGCTGAGGCAGGAGGATTGCTCGAGCCCAGGAGTCTGAGGTTGCTGTGAGCTAGGCTGATGACACAGCACTGTAGCCTGGGCAACAAAGTGAGACTCTGTCAAGAAAGAAAAGAAAAGAAAAGAAAAGAAAAGAAAAGAAAAGAAAAGAAAAGAAAAGAAAAGAAAAGAAAAGAAAGGAGGGAGGGAGGGAGGGTAACCAACACCATGCACTTGCTACACAGCTCCAAAAAAAAAAAAATCTCTCCAACTTTTTATAACATTAACAAACCTTATAGAGAGCTTATTTTGTGTTCAGCACCTATGACTCATTTCACCCTCACAGTGACCCATTTATGGATAAGGAAGGTGGCCTAGCCAGTTAAGTGGGGGAGCAAATGCAAACTGCCTCCTTCCCCCCAACCAAAGCACCTTCCTTGTGCCTTATGTGTTCTGCAGTTTGCTAATCCTGGGGGTGTGGGGTGCAGAGAGCAGTTGTTGACTCTCAGCTTCCTCCAGGTACTTCCAGGCACTTCCCAGCTGCACCACTCGCTGGTTGGTGGGATTGGAACCCAGGCCGAGAGGTGCCAGCACAGCCTAGAAGCATCTAGAGTCTTCTCCATTTGTGGCCAGTTAATCCTCCCAAGAACCCCTGGCCAGGGGCACGGGGAAGGTCCCCTGCTAATAGCATAGCAGGAATGGCCCTGGGACTGGCCACAGAGTGTCCAACACTGAGCCCTCTGTGGGGGCTGTGATTTCAGGGTGCCCTGAGGGGAAAGGAGCACCTCGAGTCAGGGGCCAGGAAGGAGGACCCCATTTCTGGAAGCTGAGTCTCAGAAGGCATCTGGCAGCCGAAGCCCAGCAGGGCACCCTCCCGGGCAGCCCTAGGGCTGGAGTCCTGCAGCATCTGGGGCCAAAGGGCCGTGTGCTGGCAGGCAGGAGCGTGGCTTCCAGACTCTCCAGCTGTGCCCCTTGGAAGGATCCTGTGCCCTCTCTCGCCTCTGCTTGAGCCACCACATCATGGGTTCTTCTGGAGGGGACGCCACACCAGTGGGGGTTTGGGTGGGGGTAGCTGAGGCATTTTGGGAGGGGCCGTGGCGTGGAGATGCCCCACCCAGACCCTTCAGGGATGTGAAGGAGGCCGGCCTCATCCCTGAAACCCCAGAGGGCTGAGGACAGGAGCTGGTCTGTGGCCAGCCTAGAACCTGGGCCCTCACCCGGCTCTGCCTGGTCTGCAGGAGGGGTGCTATGGAACATGATGAGAAGCTGGCCCGGTTCCGGCAGGTCCACCTCAACCCCTTCAACAAGCAGCCTGGGCCGAGGCAACATGAGCAGGAGCCCGGCGAGGGGGCCCCGGAAGTCGCTGTTGAAGGTGGGTGCTGCAGGGGTGGAGCTGGGCGGGCATCTGACCCCTCACGCCAGCCCCACCCTCCTTCCTTCCGCTGCGTCCTCGTCCTCGCAGGTGAGCACTGGCTTCCCAGAGAGCTGGCGCTGCTGGCTGCTCCCTCCCCAACAGCACAAGTCACTTTTCACTCGCTCTGTGGGTCGCTTCTGTGTCCCCCACCAGAACGAGCACTCCTCAGGGTGGGGACTTATGCCTCACCTGTCACGCTGTGACAGCCAGGGCCGGCACACAGTAGGTGCTCAGCAAACCCTTGTGGAGTGAACTCAGAGCTGAGATCTGGACGGGCAGAGCTCAGTGGATAGAGGGTCTCGTTCCAAGCCCCACTTCTCTGGGGGTCAGGACAGTATGAGCCGCAGAAACTGCAGATGGGGTCAGCAGGGAGTTCCTGGGGCCAGGGCAAGAGACGGCCTGGAGTCCACCAGGTTTGTGGACTTTGTTGTGTAGCCACGCAGTCATTTCTCTTCAATCCAGACATTTATTTATTCACGATGCCTTAGAAATGGGGACATTTCTATGATGCTCTGTTGTGGGCATTTTAGCACCACGGAAGGACATTCCGCCTCATCTTTGTGACTGCCTCCTTCCCGTCCGCGGGAAGACATGGCTTCCTCTGCAGGTGCAAACCAGACAGACATCAGACCAAGCAGCGTGTCTCGGTGCCTTGGCGCCTCCTTCCCGTGGGCTCCCTGAACCCCCTTCCCGCCGCAGCCATCTGAGTTCCTCCCTGGGGGACGAGGGGCCACAGGCTGACCTTTCTCTCCCCACAGCCCTCCACACCTGCCCCCTCCCCACAGAGGCCCTGCCCGAGCTGCAGCCCGCAGAGCCCGAGTTCCGCTGCCCCGAGCGCGTGATGGATCTCGGCCTGTCTGAGGACCACTTCTCCCGCCCCGTGGTGAGGTTTGGGTCTGGGTGGGAGGAGGGACTGGCTGAATCCCCCATGGTAGGAGGGGCCCATGGGTTCCTTGTCAGCAGCTCTCAGCGGCAGGGCCGTGTCCTCTCAGACACTCTCCCAGGACCGTGGGCTTCGCACTTGAGCTGGAGGCCTCTTGCTCTTCTTCACGACAGCAAACGTCATTTCCCTGGCCTTCCTCCAAGAGGAAGTTCTTCGGAAGTAAGGGAAATGGTGTAGCCAAAAAAGCAATTTGGCTTCTAAAAGAAGGAAGTTGTCCACTGGGCGTGGTGGCTCACGCCTGTAATCCTAGCACTCTGGGAGGCCGAGGCGGGGCGGATGGCTCTAGGTCAAGAGTTCGAGACCAGTTCTGAGCTAGAGCAAGACCCCATCTCTACTAAAAATAGAAACGAATTAATTGGCCAACTTAAAATATATAGAAAAAAAAAATTAGCCAGGCATGGTGGTGCATGCCTGTAGTCCCAGCTACTCGGGAGGCTGAGGCAGGAGGATCGTTTGAGCCCAGGAGTCTGAGGTTGCTGTGAGCTGGGCTGACGCCACGGCACTCACTCTAGCCCGGGCAACAAAGTGAAACTCTGTCTCAAAAAAAAAAAAAAAAAAAAAATAGAAGGAAGCTATTTTTTGAAAAGCTTCCTTCAAACATTAGGTCTTCAGAGGCCTGGCACCGGGTGGGCCCTAACCATGCCGCCAACCCTCCCGGGACTTACGCATGTCCTCAGCCCTCCGGATTCAGCTTCCTCATGTGCATGTAGCGGGTGAGGCCTGCTCTGGGCCTGACTGTCTGAGGATGGGCCCTGCCCGAGCAGGGGTGGCATCTGACTGCCCCCAACCCCAACCCGGGCAGGGACTGTTCCTGGCCTCCGACATCCAGCAGCTGCAGCAGGCCATCGAGGAGTGCAAGCGGCTGATTCTGGAGCTGCCCGAGCAGTCGGAGAAGCAGAAGGACGCGGTGGTGCGGCTCATCCACCTCCGGCTGAAGCTGCAGGAGCTGAAGGTGGGTGCTGGCCCTCCCCCCGCAGAGGGAGCCTGGAGCTGAGGCTGGAACTGTGGGAAGCAGGAGACCTTGGGGCAGCCCCTGGCTCCTTCCTGGGTGGGGGTCCCTCTGGGCTCTGGGGAGCTGAGGTAGAAAGGTGTGTAGAGGGCAGGGTCAAAGACAGGGCCTTACCCGTGTGCGGCAGGCTGTTTCTCTACAGGTCTAGACCCTCTTGGTTGCAAAGGACAGAAACCCAACCTCGGCCGGGTGCGGTGGCTCACGCCTGTAATCCTTGCACTCTGGGAGGCCAAGGCGGCAGGATCATTTGAGCTCAGGAGTTTGAGACCAGCCTGAGCAAGAGCAAGACCCCGTCTCTACTAAAAATAGAAAGAAAATAGCCAAACAACTAAAAATAGAAGAAAAAAATTTAGCCGGGCATGGTGGTGCATGCCCGTAGTCCCAGCTACTCGGGAGGCTGAGGCAGGAGGATTGCTTGAGCCCAGGAGTTTGAGGTTGCTGTGAGCTAGGCTAATACCATGGCACTCTAGCTCAGGCAGCAGAGTGGGACTCTGTTTTTTTGAGTCTCAAAAAAAAAAAAAAATGTGTAATTTTCCTCACGTGAAAATGCCATAGGTGGTCCAGGGCCCATGTGGCAGCTTATGGTATTGAGGACCTGGGTCACCCTTTCTTGTTGCTCTGCGGTCTCTGGGGGATCTAAGGTGGCCTCAGACCGTGTCTTCTGGGTTTGCACCCAACCAGCAGACAGGAGAGATGGGCAGGGAGCTGCACCATCGCTGCCCAGGTGTCCTGGGCCCCCACAGTCACCCAGCAGCACCTGGCGGTGGGGTGCCGGGAGAGGGAACATGTGATCTGGGCAGTCCATGCCTGACTGATCATCGTTTCATTGTAGAAAGGAAAAGGGGCTTGACATTGCGCCGACACTCACTGTCTCTGCTGCCAGTAGCGCCTGCGAGAAATAAGCTGAGGGGCTTGTGTGTGAGGGGAAAGGAACTGCAGCCCAGCTCACCTGTGACCCCTCCCCAACCCTCCTCTGCAGGACCCCAATGAAGACGAGCCCAACCTCCGAGTGCTCCTCGACCACCGCTTCTACAAGGAGAAGAGCAAGAGTGTCAAGCAGACCTGTGACAAGTGCAACACTATCATCTGGGGGCTCATTCAGACCTGGTACACCTGCACAGGTGGGCCGAGACCTAGACCTGTTCCTGCTGGATGAGTGAGTGGTTCGGGTCCTCAGGGCAGGGTGCAGGAGCCCAGAGCTCTGCTTCCGTATCTGGGTCACATTCAGGTGAATGTTCCGCAGTGTTCTCAGCTGCTGCGGGTGCTGAAGACACAAGCAATGAGAGACCAAACCCCTGCCCACACTGATCTCACAGCCACACCTGAGCTGTCCAGGAGGGTGGCCGCTAGCTACATACGACTATGCAAATTTGAGTATTAATTACTCGAATATTCATTTCCTCAGTTGCACCATCTACATTGCTCACGCTCAAGAGCCCATGATGCTAGTGGCTGCCATGTTGGACAGTGCAGAGAAAACTTTTCTGTGATTGCGGAAAATCCCATCTGATGGTGCCATTCGGGATGAGAAACCAAACTAGTGACCGACATGGTGTGTCAGACAGTCACATGACAGTGAAGAAAAATCCGGAACAGGAATAGCATGCGCTAGGGTGGAATGGGTATGGCTTCAGAGCAGACTGAAAAGGCATCACGTGACATTTAAGCAAAAACTTGAAGGTACAAGTCAGGAGTATATCTAGGGAGGAACGTTCTGGTGTGGGGGGGCCAGGTGTGCAAAGGCCCAGTGGCTGAGGTGTGTCCGGTGTCTTCAAGGAGGAGCAGAGGACCCTGGGGCTGGAGCTGCACCTCTGAGGGAGGTTGGGTAGGGGTAGGCGTAGTGCTGGCTGGGGGCTTTTCTGTAACTGCAATGGGTGCTACAAGGGGTTGTTGGACATACTTATGTTTTTTGGTTTTTTTGAGACATGGTCTCTCTCTGTCACCCAGCCTAGAGTGTAGTGGTGTCATGACAGCTCACTGCAGCCTCCAACTCCTGGGCTCAAGTGATCTTCCTGCCACAGCCTCCTGAGTAGCTAGGACTACAGGCATGCGCCACCATGCCCTGGTAGTTTGTTTTTTTTTTTTTTTGAGACAGAGTCTCGCTTTGTTGCCCAGGCTAGAGTGAGTGCCGTGGCGTCAGCCTAGCTCACAGCAACCTCAAACTCCTGGGCTCGAGTGATCCTTCTGCCTCAGCCTCCCGGGTAGCTGGGACTACAGGCATGTGCCACCATGCCCGGCTAATTTTTTTTTTTTATATATATATATCAGTTGGCCAATTAATTTCTTTCTATTTATAGTAGAGACGGGGTCTCGCTCTTGCTCAGGCTGGTTTTGAACTCCTGACCTCGAGCAATCCGCCTGCCTCAGCCTCCCAGAGTGCTGGGATTACAGGCGTGAGCCACCACGCTCGGCCCCCCTGGTAGTTTTTAAATTGTTTGTAGGGACAGAGTCTCGCTATGTTGTCCAGGCTGGTCTTGAACTCCTGGTATGGGCTCAAGTGATCCTCCCATCCTGGCCTCCCAAAGTGCTGGGATTACAGGTGTGAGCCACTGTGCCTGGCCCATACCTAGGTATTAACAGTGTCATTCTGGCTGCTGATTGAGCATGGATGAGGAGGGGGTGGCACTCTGGTTCAGGTGGGACAGTGGGAGTCAGAAGTAGCTGAGTTTAGTACCAGCTGCAGGTTTGGAAATGAATGTAAGAGACGAGAATGGAGTCGGGATGACTCACTATGGTTGGTCTCAGCAGTGGAAAGATGGAGTCGCTGAAATCTGAGATGGGACGCCGTGAGGAGGTTGGGAAGGAAGGGTGGGAATTCCATTTGGACAGCTTGGATTTGAGTTGGGAATGGCAGCTCGGCCACTGGACGTACACACCTGAAGTTGAGGGGCGAGGCTCAGAGCACAGGGCTAGGAGGGTCTTTGAGGTTCAAAGACCTACAGCGGCGCCAGGAGGTCTTGGATTGGCCTGGACCTTGGAGTGGAGCCCACGGGGGAGGGGGCAGAACAGCTGAAGGTCGCCTGGCCGCAGGGGCCTCCCCCCACTTCTCAGGGTGTGTGTCTTGCCCCTGCCCCCCAGGCTGCTGTTACCGCTGCCACAGCAAGTGTTTGGGCCTCATCTCCAAGCCCTGCGTGAGCTCCAGAGTCAGCCACCAAGCCGAGTATGAGCTGAACATCTGTCCCGAGACAGGGCTGGACAGCCAGGATTACCGCTGTGCCGAGTGCCGGGCGCCCATCTCTCTGCGTGAGTGGTGGCGGGGAGCTGCTGGGCAGGGGAGCCAGGCGTCGGGAAAGTCAGACAGCTAGGTGAGGACCTGGGCGTGGTCCCTGCGTCTTCCATGCAAGCAGGCCGAGGTCCCAGCCGTCTGGAAGCCTGCACAGGTCACCAAGGAATTCTTGCAGGGCCAGACCTAACCTCAGCCTCGTCCCTTTGTCCCACAAAGCCCACACAGACAGGGACTGGGGAAAAACCACACAGCCATCCTGCACATGGCACCTGCAGGCCTTCTTTCTAGAAAGTTACTAGTGTCAATTCACAAGGTCCCTTCGTAGTCCCATGGCAGGGTGCTTTTACTGTCCCATTTTACTAATGGGAAAACAGAGCAGGGAGGTGCTGGATCCCTGAGGTCTCACGGCTGAGAAGAGGGTGGGTCAGGTTTGCAGGGTGGTGCCCTTGGCCCCTGGGGCTGTCTCCCCGAGGGCTGTGGTCTAGGGGAGCGTGGACCACAGGGTGTGGAAGCTGTGGGGGTCACGGTGAGACGGGACCCCGACGGCCATTCTGAAGCTGTGGTGGCCACACCGCTGCAGGGGGTGTGCCCAGCGAGGCCAGGCAGTGCGACTACACTGGCCAGTACTACTGCAGCCACTGCCACTGGAACGACCTGGCCGTCATCCCTGCGAGGGTCGTGCACAACTGGGACTTTGAGCCTCGCAAGGTCAGGGGTCGGGAGGCAGGGATGGCCCTTGGGGGGCAGAGCAGCTGTGGGCGGGGCCGGCATGCCCTGGGTGGGTGACTGCTGGCTGCACAGGCCTGGGGGGACACGGTGCCACCAGACATGGTACCGGAGGTGACACTGGGCCCCGCCCTGCAGGTGTCTCGCTGCAGCATGCGCTACCTGGCGCTGATGGTGTCTCGGCCAGTGCTCCGGCTCCGCGAGATCAACCCTCTGCTGTTCAACTATGTGGAGGAGCTGGTGGAGATCCGGGTGAGGCTGGGGCCGGGGGCTGCAGCGGTATTCTGTTGGGGACCCCATGGCGGGGCCAGCCACCCTCTTCTCTGGGTGCTGTGGGGTTTGTGTGTGTGTGTGTGTGTGTGTGTGTGTGTGTGTGTGTGTGTGTGTGTGTGTCAGAGTCTCCCTCTGTTGCCCAGGCTAGAGTGAGTGCCGTGGCGTCAGCCTAGCTCACAGCAACCTCAGACTCCTGGACTCAAGTGATCCTCCTGCCTCAGCCTCCCAAGTAGCTGGGACTACAGGCATGCGCCACCATGCCTGGCTAATTTTTTCTATATATTTTTAGTTGTCCAGCTAATTTCTTTCTATTTTTTTAGTAGAAATGGGGTCTCACTCTTGTTAAGACTGGTTTCGAACTCCTGACCATGAGCGATCCGCCCACCTCGGCCTCTCAGAGTGCTAGGATGACAGGCTTGAGCCACTGAGCCAGACCCTGTGGGGGGTTTTATTTATTTATTTTGAGACAGAGTCTCACTTTGTTTCCCAGGCTAGAGTGAGTGCCGTGGCGTCAGCCTAGCTCACAGTAACCTCCAACTCCTGGGCTCAAGCAATCCTCCTGCCTCAGCCTCCCGAGTAGCTGGGACTACAGGCATGCGCCACCATGCCCGGCTAATTTTTTCTATATATATTAGTTGGCCAATTAATTTTTTTCTATTTATAATAGAGACGGGGTCTCCCTGTTGCTCAGGCTGGTTTCGAACTCCTGACCTCAAGCAAGCTGCCCGCCTCGGCCTCCCAGAGTACTAGGATTACAGGCATGAGCCACCTCGCCCCGCCACTGTGGGGGGTTTTAAACAGAGGAGGGAGACCACCTGCTTAGGTTCAGTAGGGCTCCATGACTATCCCTTGATTTGAAGATGCTGGAGCCATGTCTAATAGCGATGTGGTCTAGGCGTAGAGACAGTTTCACATTTTCTAGTAGCGACATTAAAACAGTAAAAAGAAACAGGTGAAGTCAATTTTAATAATGTATTTTATTTAGCCCAATATCTGTTTATTTAACCTAATGTAACCTAATGCATGTTAAAAAGATTACTTCAACACGCAATCATACAAAGTTATTGGGATATTTTACATCCTTTTTCTTTTCCGCACCACCTCTTTGAATTTCAGTGTGGATTCTACACTTACAGCAGCCTCTGTCCGGACCAACGGCTTTCCCCACCCTAGGGGCTGCGCGTGGCCGGTTCTCTCGGCCAGCAGTGAGGGAGGGGGGCGGGCCGGGGGCAGAGGCTGCTGCACTTCGGGCTGGGGGTGGCCCCTCTCCACGAGGTGGTGAGGCAGCAAGCTGAGTTGCTGGGGCCACAGGGCTGAGGAGGGAGCTGGGAGTTTTCTGGGAGTTTGGCTCAGGGTGTCAGACGTGCCCGTGCTGTGCAGGTGAGGTGTGCGAGGCTGCCGACATCGGGACAGGTGGCATTTCGTGCCCGTGGGGCTGAGGCAGGGTGAGTGGAGGGTTCCGTGGGCAATGACAGTCGAACCTCAAGGCCCTCCCCAGCCTAGAAACTGTGGTTTGAACTAGAGCTTGGCTGAAGCACTCAGACCTGGGACCTTTCTGGGGAACTTGAGGGCACCGTCTCCAGGGTATAAGGTGTGACACCCGTGAGCAGGACCCCCCTGACACCAGCATGGAGCTGGGCCTCAGCCATGCGGACATGGGCACAGCGTCGGCCCTGTATCCTGGCTGAGGCCCTCCCGCTCCTGTTGTCCACAGAAACTGCGCCAGGACATCCTGCTCATGAAGCCGTACTTCATCACTTGCAAGGAGGCCATGGAGGCCCGTCTGCTGCTGCAGGTCAGACTGCCAGGAGGACTGGCTCGAGACGGGAAACACAGAGAGAGCCAGGGTGACAGAGCGCCTCGTACTCAGATCTTTCTCCGATAGCCTGATAGCTGGTATATGTAGTGCCATTTAGCAGAGGGTTTCCCAGACTCTGTCTCAAGGAACAAAGCAAACAGGTATTCCACCCACACAAGCGTCCTCATCATTTCAGTTTGGGGAATACCGAGGTTGGTGCTGAGGCTTCCTGTGAATCTCCCCCCGGGGAGACCCAGCCTAGCCCCCCTCAGGCAGGCTGACCACAGAACAGGCTTCAAGGCTCACCTGTGCATTTGTTCAACAGATACTCACAGACGCCGTTCTAGACTCTGGGCACCTGTGGACAGAACACGCAGGGACCCTTGCGCTTAGAGAGTGCCCTTCAAGTAGGCAAATGATGTCAGGGTGGCGAGCACAGCAGACAAGACCAGTCGGGAGGATGTGGAACACTGGAGGGGGCGCAGTGTACACAGGGGGATGTGGAACACTGGAGGGGCGCAGTGTACACAGGGAGATGTGGAACACTGGAGGGGGCGCAGTGTACACAGGGGGATGTGGAACACTGGAGGGGCGCAGTGTACACAGGGGGATGTGGAACACTGGAGGGGGCGCAGTGTACACGGAGGGGACAGGATCGGGGAGGTGGCAGTGTGGCTGGAGGCGCTGTATCGGGGAGTGAAGAGACCCCTGGTGTCCCTGGTCCTGGTCGTCTCTCCCTGATGAGCCCCCCCACCCTGGGCTCCTTGATTCTGCTCTTGGGGCCTGAACACAGACACCGTCTGAAACTTGTGGCTTCCCTGGCACCAGCAGTGGCTCTGGGTGGGCCATGGGGCTTCCTTTCCTGGTGCTGGGGGTCACGGCCACGGGGCCTTGGCAGCTCCAGGACCGGCAGCACTTCGTGGAGAACGACGAGATGTACTCGGTCCAGGACCTGCTGGACGTGCGCTTAGGCCGGCTGGGCTGCTCGCTTACCGAGATCCACACGCTCTTCGCCAAGCACATCAAGCTGGACTGTGAGGTGGGCGTCCGCACCGCGCCGAGGGGGGACCGTGGGTGCTGCTCCCCCACCCCCAGCCCGAGGGCGGGACTTGGCTGGAGAAGTCCCCAGTACCCCTGTCCCCCGACTGCCCTCCAGAGCCGGCACTCGCCCGCCCACCCCAACCCCCACTGTCCCCCGCAGCGGTGCCAGGCCAAGGGCTTCGTGTGCGAGCTCTGCAGAGAGGGCGACGTGCTGTTCCCCTTCGACAGCCACACGTCTGTGTGCACCGACTGCTCCGCTGTCTTCCACAGGTGGGTGCGGCTGGTCCTGCGGGAGCTGCGAGAGAGAGAGAGAGAGAGAGAGAGACAGACAGACAGACAGACAGACGACAGACAGACAGAGAGAGAGAGAGAGAGAGACAGACAGACAGACAGAGGCAGAGAGAGACAGAGAGAAAGACAGGGACACACACACAGAGACAGAGAGAGACAGAGAGAAAGACAGGGACACACACACAGAGACAGAGAGAGAGACAGAGAGAGACAGACAGACAGACACAGAGACACAGAGACACAGAGAGATAGACACAGAGAGAGACAGACAGAGAGACACACACAGACAGAGACAGAGAGAGAGAGACAGACATTTGCATCTTTGCTGCTGATTTTCAAAGCCCTTTGCTGACCCTAAGATATGGAGTTAGACCCTGCTGTCTGTGACAACACTAAAAGTCACCTGAGGGCCAGGTGTGGTGGCTCACACCTGTGATCCTAGCACCCTGGGAGGCCAAGGCGGGCGGATTGCTCGGATTGCTCGAGGTCAGGAGTTCGAAACCAGCCTGAGCAAGAGTGAGACCCCGTCTCTACTATAAATAGAAAGAAATTAATTGGCCAACTAATATATATAGAAAAAATTAGCCAGGCATGGTAGCACATGCCTGTAGTCCCAGCTACTCGGGAGGCTGAGGCAGGAGGATTGCTTGAGCCCAGGAGTTTGAGGTTGCTGTGAGGTAGGCTGACGCCACGGCACTCACTCTAGCCTGGGCAACAAAGAGAGACTCTGTCTCAAAAAGAAAAAGTCACCTGAGGCCCCAGCTTGCCCCCAGATATGTTCCTGGCACCTGAACTGCTTCCTTTCTCTGCTAGGATTCAAGTTACTCTTTCAGGGTTACTGTATGTAGAGGTTCTCAAACTTTCTAGTTCCTGGCACCCTTTAGTGTCCCAGTTAATTTTTTAATTTTTTCAAAGTATCCCTGGACCAAAAGAAATGCCTAACCCCTTGGTTTGTTCAGTACTTATGTTCAAACAACTTTATAAGTATTTATGTCCTGAAGATTTATTTACATCACTAAAGATTTAGTGGCTGTTTGGGAAAATAACACACAAAAATGGCAAGAAAAAAATTTTAATTTCCTTTTTCAATAAGCACAATTACTTACTGATGACATGTGTTTGTGTCCTGGGCGCTGCACACCTCCTCAAACCTGGAATCAGGTAGGAAACCACCACCCCTGTTTCCATACACTGGTTTTTGCCTGGCGTTCGCTATTTATCATGGCACCTGCCGAATCCCAGCTCTGCAAAGCTGTGATGTCACTGAAGGAACTGTAGCAAAAGCTAACACTGAGGCCGGGCGCGGTGGCTCACGCCTGTCATCCTACCACTCTGGGAGGCCGAGGCAGGAGGATCACTCAAGGTCAGGAGTTCGAGACCAGCCTGAGCAAGAGCAAGACCCCATCTCTACTCAAAATAGAAATTAATTGGCCAACTAAAATATATATATAAAAAAAAATTAGCTGGGCATGGTGGCGCATGCCTGTAGTCTCAGCTACTCGGGAGGCTGAGGCAGGAGGATCACTTGAGCCCAGGAGTTGGAGGTTGCTGTGAGCTAGGCTGATGCCACGGCACTCTAGCCCAGGCAACACAGTGAGACTCGGTCTCAAAAACAACAACAACAAAACCAAAAAACTAACATTGAAACTGGACTCCCTGGAGCCCCTAGTTTGCTTGGCGTCTGAAAGATGTCAGATATTGCTGTGTTCTCCTCAAAAATCTAAACTGGCCCATGGAATCCCCTGAGGTGCCTTGGGGTACCCTGATGCACAGTTTGGGAACCATGGTGGCAGCCAGTGGGGATAAGAACAGGTGGTGACAGTCACTAAGCGCTCAGAGGCAAGGTGGCTGCCTGGTCTAGCCCCTTCAGCTTGGGCCTTGGTGACCTGAGCCCTGGGCCGTCAGGGACATCAGCTGCCGTGAGGACTGAGGGAGCCCCCCTCGACGTCCTGGGTAAGTGCCCACCATCCGCGCACCGCACGGTCAGTCGCTTCTGGGCTCAGACCCTGGGTGGCATCTCCGAACCTGTTTCCCCACCTGTCGAGGGGTGAGGGGATCTGACTCGGGCAGCTTGCGAGGACTCAGTGGTGGAACTTCTTGTGCTGAGCGCCCCAACCTGTTCCCGCCCCCAGGGACTGTTACTATGACAACTCAACCACCTGCCCCAAGTGTGCCCGGCTCAGCCTGCGGAAGCAGTCGCTCTTCCAGGAGTCTGGTCCGGACGTGGACGCCTGAGGCCGAGGAGGACGCCGGGTGCCCCGCCAGGACTGCCTGTCCCTGACCCCGCTGGCGTTGCCAAAGTCGAGTTGGTGGTTCTGCTCTGGAGACCCCCGGGGTGAAGCCCACGGACCTCTCTATCCCTGCAGGGGTAGGAGGTGGTGAGCAGGACTGTCGTCCCCCAGGTGCTCTGTGGTACCTGGGGTGGCATCACCTGGCTGTTACCTGGTTGTGCTGCTGTGTGGGGTCCCCTTCCCCACTGCAGGACTCTGTGGGGTGAGGGAGGACTTCTAACTCCCCCCGCTGCACTTCCCTCTCTGTGCCCCTGGGCCAAGCCTCTGGGCCCTGGAGATGCTGCGGGTCCTGCCCCAGCCACCCTGGAAACTCGTCCGGCCAAGACCCCCAGAGGGCTTCAGAGCATGGTCGCTAAGACCTGAGGATGCCCCGGGCCGAGTTTCGCCTGCAGTGATGGTTTGGGTTCTACCCAGAGGCTCCCACTACCTCCGGCCACTTGTCTGTGGGGCTTCTGGTTGTCCCTGGCTGGGGCCATGCACGGTGGTCTCCCATAGACCTACCTCTGTCTTGGTCTCCTGAGGTTCTTCTAAGTGCTCCTGGGAGGTCAGGGAGGGAAGAGGCTGTGGCACTTTTCCCTCCTGGGCACACCTGTTGCTGCTCCTGCCATGGCCCAGCCCACCTTACCCCGGTTCTCCAAGCTGGGAGGCTGGGGGTCCAGTCTGAGGAAGATACCCCGGCCTCCAGGTGTGGTGCAGGACCTGTGCCCCAGTGGAGGTTCCAGGTTAGGCAACAGGGTCACTTACAGTAGGCCTGGGTGGCATTTCTCAGGACTACATTTGTCCCTGAGGAGTTCCGTCCTGCTACCTGTGGAGGGCTCTGGCTGGCTTGGCCTCAGGTCGAGAGCTGGGGGATTTGCTCTCCTCCTCACCTGCCCCTCTGGATGACAAAGTCTTTAAACAGAATCACATGTGGATCTCACCACGAACCTGGGCGTGAGGCCTAGAGCCCATGCAGAAGGATGAGGGCAGGGGGTGTGGGAGGTCCCTCATTCCATGTGACAAAGGGCCCCTGGACAGCAGACGAGACCTACAGCTCTTCAGTGGGGACAGAGGCACACCTGGCCTCTGTGTTTGCACTTTATAGGTCCTGCGTTGAGGGGCTGCAGGAGGGGACATTTCGGGACGTGGCTTCCCAGTCTTTTGCCCCTGGGAAGCAGAGGCAGCTTGCATCTGCCTTCCTCCTCCCCTCCCGGGACTGTGCTTGGCTGTTGGTGTGCATGGTTGGCACATGTGGGCAGAGGGCAGGGAACGTAGCTGCCGGGACAGCCATCACCTATTGCCGAGACGCCCAAGAGAGATGCCTCAGTCAGCAGAAAGGCCAGCCTGGCTCACTGGCCCGCTGAAGGGTGGACAAAGACAGCGTGGCCTCCTCCCTGCTCCTCTGCACGTTTCGCCCCACCCCGTGGCTTTAGACACGGTCTTGCTGTCTGTTCGGCCTCACTTTCCCCATCTGGGAGATGGGGGCAGTGGTGTGGACCTACCTCAGGGTGGAATGGTGAGAAGGGAACCAAGTCCTTTAGAGAGGGAGCTGTGAGGTCGGGTCAATGCTGGGTCCCTGTCCTGCTTTCTCTGCTTCTTTGGGGCTGCAGGGGGGATTAAAGGTCAAATGCTCTTTTCCTGCATCCTTAAATCTGCACATTTCTCACGACTGCATCACGTTTCTGTCATATGAATATTGGCCATTCCCGAATCTCCTATGTAATCACCACATTCCAGTTACAGATCACCGTGTCTGCAGAAAAAGCAGGCTGGCGTTTGTTGGACAAAGGGTTGGGTCATCCTTTAACCTACCCAACATCTCTTCCTCACCTGCCCCTCTGGAGGACAAAGTCTTTGAACAGAATCACGTGGGGGGCTTTCTACACATCCACAGCACACTAGGGAAAACCCACCAAGGAAATCGTTTGCATAAGCGGCATCTTATAGAAGAGCACATGCAAGGGCGATTCTTTAGCTTGGGACTAGGCTGGCCTGGGGGATGCCCAGTTGTAACAATGCCACTGTCACCGTCACATTAAATTGGTGTCCTACAGACTCTGGTGTGTGTGGTGAATTGGAGACAAAGCTGAGAATGTGTTGATATACAAGCCAATTGTAGCCTTAGGGAATAACAAACAACCTCATCCAGTGGGGGTGAATGTACCATTCTGGTTTGAATGTACCAAACCATCTGGTTTGGGGTGAAGTACTATTTCTTTCTTTTTTTCTTTTGAGACAGGGTCTCACTCTGTCACCCAGACTGGAGTGCAGTGGCATCATCACAGCTCACTGCAGCTTCAGACTCCTGGACTCAAGCAATCCTCCCATCTCAGCCTCCCCAGTAGCTGGGACTACAGGTGTGCACCACCACGCCCAGCTATTTAAAAAATTTTTTGTAGAGTTGTGGTCCTGCTTCATTGCACAGCTGGTCTTGAACTCCCAGCCTCCAGTGATCCTCCTGCCTTGGCTTCCCAAAGTGCTGGGATTACAGGCATAAGACACTGCACCTGGCCATATTTCTTTTTGATTTTTAAATTTTTTTTCCTTTTTTAAAATTTCAGCATATTATAGGGGTACGAATGTTTAGGTTACATATATCGCCTTTGCCCCACTGGAGTCAGAGCTTCAAGCGTGTCCATGCCCAGATGGTGAGCGCCATACCCATTCGGTGTAAATATACCCCTCCCCTCTCCCACCTGCCCAACACTGGATGAATGTTACTACTATATGTGCACATAAGTGCTGATCAGTTAATACCACTTTGATGGTGAGTACATGTGGTGCTTGTTTTTCCGTTCTTCGTGATACTCATATTTCTTGATCAATTGGGAGAAGTACGTATGTTGGTGTTAGACCCGGGCCTGAGTTGGCTCTGACACAATGTGTAGGGAAGTTACACAGTTTCAGCCTTCATTTCTTCTATGTGATGGGATTACAACACACCTCGTGGGGTTTTTAGTGTTCCAAGAAGCATTTAGTGCTGTGCCTGGCATGCAGGAAATGCTCAGTACATAGAGCTTGTCTTCTTTCTAGAGTCCTCTTATTGAAAGGACTGTCTCATTATCTTAGGCAACAAGAAACTGGCTAGTTACGCAAATCACAGGAGCCTTTTCAGCTCCATAAGTCAGAACCATGAAAAGGGCCCTCACCACAGTTGAAGGCATTCTCATTGCCCTTGAATAAAGATAAATAATGGATGTACTTCAGGGGAACCATAAACTCTCCTTCCAAATTAGACTCAAAACTCTGTGCATTTTTCTGCAGAGACATGATCTATGGCAGGCGTCCTCAAACTACGGCCTGCGGGCCACATGCTGCCTGCCAAGGACATTTGTCCAGTCCTCCAGGTGTTTCTGCCGCCCCTACCTGTCCTGCTTAGCAGCCGACTCATCCCGGGCCCACAGTGCGCACTCTCCAACGGTCTGAGGGACAGTGAACTGGCCGCCTGTTTAAAAAGTTTGAGGACCCCTGATCTATGGTTTTGACCAGGATCTCAAAGGGGCTATGGCCTAGGAAACGCAGGAATCTGCTATCTTTATCCATAATCGAGGGAACGGGGCTGGGGGACAGGGGCAGGAGGAAAGGCATTCCGGGGCTGTTGTGGGCCGAGTGCTGGCACGTGTCTGAGTACACGCCTCCAATTAAAAACTACAAGCAGCTAAAGCTGCACTTTGCACATTAGAGGACACAACTGTTTTTCCGCCTTTAGGTTATGAAATTGTTTTTCTTTTAATATTTTTATTTTGACAAATTTAGATTTACAGAAAAGTTGCAAAAACATTCCCATTTGTCCATCTCCTCGATTCTCTAAATGTTAACATTTTGTCCCATTTGCTTTATGCTTTCTCTGCACATACATTTTTTTTCTGAACCATCTGGCAGTAAGTTGCAGAGATGATGCTGTTCTTTGCTGCTAAATACTTGTGTTTATTACCCCAAAACAAGGACATTACCTTATATGGCCACATTTATCAAATATGGAATTATCAAAATCAGGAGAGTAACACTGACAACATACAAAACCTACAACAAACCTTGTTCAGATTTTATCGACCTCCTCCCCCTCCCCCAAACCCCACATTACATTCAGTTGCCATGTCTTTTTGACTTTTTTTTTTTTTTTTTTTAGATACAGTCTCACTTTGTTGCCCAGGCTAGAGTGAGTGCCATGGGGTCAGCCTAGCTCACAGCAACCTCAATCTCTTGGGCTCAAGGGATCCTACTGCCTCAGCCTCCTGAGTAGCTGGGACTACAGGCATGCGCCACCATGCCCGGCTAATTTTTTGTATATATATTTTTAGTTGGTCAATTAATTTATTTCTATTTTTAGTAGAGACAAGGTCTCGCTCAGGCTGGTTTTGAACTCCTGACCTTGAGCAATCCGCCCGCCTCAGCCTCCCAGAGTGCTAGGATTACAGGTGTGAGCCACTGCGCCTGGCCTGACTTTCTTTAATACAACAAAACATTGACATTTTTGAAAGATGTAGGCTATTTTGAAGAATGTCTCTCAGATTGGGTTTGTCTCCCATTCAAGCTTTGCACTTCTGGCAGGAATTCCACAGCAATGATGCTATGTCCTCTTTGGGGCATAATGGGAAGCGCACAATGTCAATTTGTCCCACTGTGGGAAATCTGGGCAGGATGGTGTCTGCCAGGTTTCTCCACTATGAGATTACTACATATTCCTTTGTAATTACTATGTATCTTGTGGGAAAATACTTTGAGACTATAAATATCCAGTTACTCCTCAAACTTCCAAACCCCCTGATGTTAGTATCCACTGATAATTATTGCCTAATTCAATTATTACAATGATGATTGCCAGATGGTGATTTTCTAATTCCATTACTGCTTCTGCATCTTTCTATCATACTGAAGAGCTTTACTTCCTCCCTGTTTATTTACTTATTCACTCAAGGCCCTATTTTACTCAGTGGGCTATAATCCCTTATTGTGATTATTTTAATTCTCAAATTATCCCAGATTTGGCCAGTGGGAGCCCTTTCAGCCTGTCTCCTGTGTAAGATACACATATATTTTCTTTTTATGAGACAAAAGTCTCACTCTGCTGCCTGGGCTAGAGTGCCGTGGCATCAGCCTAGCTCACAAGCAACCTCCAACTCCTGGGCTCAAGTGATCCTCCTGCCTCAGCCTCCCGAGTAGCTGGGACTACAGGCATGTGCCACCATGTCTGGCTAATTTTTCTATATATTTTTAGTTGATCAACTAATTTCTTTCTATTTTTAGTAGAGACAGGGTCTTGCTCTTGATCAGGCTGGTCTCAAACTCCTGAGCTCAAATGATCCACTCGCCTCAGCCTCCCAGAGTGCTAGGATTACAGGCGTGAGCCACCATGCCTGGTCACATGTATATTTTCTATTTCTATTTTTAATTTTCTTCCATAAAAGGTAGCATACTATCTTCTTGTACATTGGGTTTTTTTCACCTAATACTGTCATATATCCTGGAAACCACATCAGTTCATAGAGTTCTACCTCATTCTACTATTATTTTCATAATTTACATCTGTATTATATTCCATTGCATGGGATTACTATTTCTGATCCAACCGCTCTTCTATATATGAATACTCAGGTTGTTCCTGAGCTTTTGCAGTTACAAATACGGCTGCGGTGAATAACCTGTGCACATGTATTATCTTCTGTTGGAGGTGCATCTTCAGGGTACAATCCTAAGCTGAGCTTGCTGAGTCCAATCTATTTTTTGAATTTTTTCCTTTTTTTTTTTTGTTTTTAAGAGATTGGGTCTCACTATACTGCCCAGGGTAGATTTGAACTCCTGGGCTCAAGAGATCCTCCCACTTTAGCCTCTTGAGTAGTTGAGACTAGAGGTGAGGGATACTGCACCTGGCAAATTATTTTTTGTGTGTCAAATGGCCCTCTATCATGGTTGTAGCAATTCCCACCAGGAATGTATGAGAGTGTCTGTTACTCCACAGCCTCACTGGCAGAATGTGTTCATGCTTTTGAGTATTCGCAGTGAGAAATGGTATTTGTGTAGTTTTATTTTGCATTTCTGTAATTATGAATGAGGTTGAACTTATTTTCATGTTTCAGGATCTCCTTTGTTTATGAATTATGTCTTTTGGTCATTTTTCTATTGAAATTTTGCTATTTTTTTCTTCTTAAAGAGCTCTTCACATATCAGGGATATTAGCCTGTTATCTGTGAGATATACTGCAGATATTTTCTTTCAGTTTGTGGATTGCTTTTTGACCTTATTTGTGGTGTTTTCTTTCCTATGGAAGAGTTTTGCTTATGTTTTTATTTTTATTTATTTATTTATTTTTTTTTAGAGGGAGGGAGGGAGGGAGGGAGGGAGGGCTTGCTTATGTTTTTATATGGTCACATTAATGTTTTATTTCATCTGGATTTGCACCCTTGTTAAAGAGGCATCCACACATGTTTTTGCAGTACTTGCATGCTTTCCCTTTTTAGATTTAGATTCCTGATCCATTTGGAGTTTATTCTTGTATAGGCTATCAAATATAGATCTAACTTTTCCTAAATTGTTAACCAGTTGTCCTGCACCATTTATTAAAAAGTCTATCTGAATCTATTTCTGGACTTTCTATTCTACTCCATGGGACTATTTAATTCTGCCTCACAGATCTGACAACTACACTGCTTTAATTACAAAGGCTTTTACAGTGTGTTTTAATGTCTGGAAGGGCTAGTCTCCACTTTGTAATTTTTCTTTTTTAAAAAATGTTTTCCTGGCTATTCTTGCATGTAATCTTTTTAAAGCACACACTTAAATAACATTTTAATGACAAAATTTGATACTCTGAGAGGTCAAAATGGAAATGCCAACAGCAAGTTTTCCAGGGGTGTTAAACATCTGGAAGCGGAGAGGCTTGGCTGGGCCTCAACTGTCCAGGTCATCTCCGTGGTTCCGGTTTTACTTTGATTACCTTTGGTAACATAAACTGAAAACGACCTAAGATAGTTGCTATGAGTGCTGCTTTTTCTCATTGTACAATTCCCTGTAGCAGTTTATTGCATCATTGACTACTCTTGAAACTTTCAGTATCCACTCACCATTATTAGGGCAGTTACTAGCCGGCCTCGAAATGTGAGAATGCTGCTGACAGTTTTCCTGTGGTTAGTTGGTGCAGGGCAGGTGGTACATCTTCACTGTCCTCCTCTCTTGCTGCCCCCTTCAGAGCCTTGGGGGTTTCCGAGTGGTATACCATTAAGGGGTTCAACTTAAAGTCCCCAGCCTCACTGCCACCAACCAGCAGCATCAAGCAATCTCTAGATGACTTAAACCCTGGTTCAGCTTTCTCTTCCTTGGAAATAAATGTTCCTTTAGGCATTCTCTTCCAATAAAGTGCTGTCTCATCTACATTAAAAACTTGTCTTGGGGGGGGCATACTTACCTTCTTCGATGATGCTTTTCAGCACTTTTGGATACTCGTCCTTGTTATTTCTGGGATCTGTGCTGTTTATCTCGAAGTGGGACAAACAATGAAACTCCTTGAATCTCATAAACCACCCTTTACTTGCACTAAACTTCTCCGTTTGAGAGCTTTCTCCTTGTTCACACTGTAAGTCGTTAAACTCTTAGCCTTCTCCTGAATGACAATGACACTCAAGGGCACATTCCAGCCACCCGCTCAACAATCGCTTCATGTTCTCCATGATTGCATTTCAACATCGAGTCAACAGGGAGGCTCTCAAGGGAGTTAGCTATTTGTGAACTCGCTTTGATTTTTTTCTTTATTATCTCGGATGGTCGCCACTGTAGAGACAGCGAGGCCTAAGGCTTTTGCGATCTCACTGAGCTTTTCACCTGCTTCAAATCGTCTTAACATTTCTAACTTGGTGTCAAGGGTAATTGCTTTCCGTTCCCTTTTGGTACTTGGGTGACAGTTGCATTTAGGGGCCTTTTCCCGGGCATTTCTGCCTCGAAAATGTAATAAAATCACAGCACACTCAGGTGCAAGAAGACTGTGCTTACTCTATGCTCCCCTGCAGAACTTGGGAAAGAGAAAACGAGGAGGCAAATAGCGCGGGCTGAGGCTCCTAGAGATGTGGCGGGGACACCACAGGCCTGCTCAGCCCCATTGCCCAGGAACAGGCTGGTTCGCTCTCGACTCCAAGGAGGTACTCGTGGGCCTCGATGGTGTCAAAGTCTAAATTCCTAGACAGCACAGCCGCAGACACAGCGAGTGGCGTGGGTTTCTGTGGCTCCAGAGGACTACCAACTAACCAAGCAACCAAACGACAATCCATAAAAGGGAACAATGAGACACAACGTCTACCTAACCAGGTCCTTTGTTCATGACCAATATCAGCGCAACAGCCCAAACCCGCAGTGGAACAAGCAGGGACACCTATGACGCCACCGACGTACGCAGGCGGGGCGAGCGCAGCGCGAGCGTTCACTTTTGTGAGCCGCGTTCCATGGAGGACCCCAGAAGTGAGTGTTCTTAGAGATGCCTGACTTAAGATAAGTCTAAAAAGCGCGGGAACACCGCTTAACGCTTAGCTCGAGTAGGCTGCTGGGGTTTCTGCGCTCACTGTCTAGGCAGGGCAAGGCGGGGCTCATGGCGAGCTCCTTGACTAGTCAGGCGGGAGGGTGGACACCTAAGAGAGGGCCCCAGCCGGCGCCGTGGCCATACTGCGCACGCGCGTGGCCTCCCTGAGCCGGCAGCCGGTATGCAGGGGCGCAGTGCCCTATGACGTGTCCGCTGTTACGCGTCCGCGCGTCCCAGAGGCGCGAGGTTGGGGGCGGGGGATGTCGTACCGGCTGGTGGCAGCTGCCGGCAGTCGAACGCTGGTCGGGCCCCTAGCCGTGGTGTGGCGATGTGTTGGTGGCCGGGGAGGCGACAAGACGGCTGGGACCAGCGTGAGGGCCCTTGGCATCGCCCGGCGGGTGAGCATGGAGCCGCTGTCTGCCGGTTCCGGGCAGCCGGGCTGTGAGCGACGCCACGGTGACGCCATCCACCTGCGCCATCCGGTGTAGGGCAGCGGGGGGTGGCCACACCCCAGAGTGGTGGCCGTGTCCCCTCTGGCTTGGCCTGAGCCCTTTTCAATGAGGCCGGCTGCCCCTGGCTTCCGCTCCCTGGCCGCGCTCTCTCCGTCCTCCGAGTTCTTCCTCCTCGCCTGCACGCTACTCCTTCCACCCACTTTTTCCGACATTCCCGCTGTTTCTCGGATGCCCGGCCCTTTGTCTGTTCCCTCGGGGAGCTGAACAGGAGCCTCCAAGCTCCTCTCTCCTCTCCAAAGAGCCACATTAGCTCTTGAATCCCGCGAACCAGCCGTGTTGCTTAGACTGGGAGGCTCAGCAGCATTAACACCTGCTTTATCTACCTCAGGGTTGCTCTACAAACCAGATATGCTAACAGACGTGAAAGAGTTTTGTGAACTGTTCTTTGTTCAATGAACGTTCGTTGAGCCCAACTCTACCGCTCCAATAACAGCTACCGTGTTTCCCCGAAATTAAGACGGTCTTATTTAAGAAGACACCCTAGGGCTTATTTTCAGGGGATGTGTTATTTTCCTCTCAAAGCCTCAGCTTGCAGCACGCACAGGATGGCCAGGACCTGACAAGGGGAGCCCACCTTGTTGGTGGGGCTGCCGGCACCTTTGCGGTCACCTCTGGGATAGTAGCTGTCAGGATGGGGTAGATGAGAAGGGCTGCTCCTTGTCTTTAGCGCTCTGCGACGAAATGCATGGGTTGTGCAGATATGCTGGGTAGCTACGCCCATCACTAGGTCTTATTTTTGGAGTAGGGCTTATATTGCGCAAATACTTAGAAATCCTGCTAGGGCTTATTTTATGGGTAGGTCTTATTTTCGGGGAAACACGGTAATACTGTTTGCAGGCTTACGTGCTAAGGGATTTGCAGGGATTATCTCATTTTAGTCTTAAACCAGTCCTGTAAGTAGGTATTAGTATAACTCTATTTTGTAGAAAAAGAAACATATGAAATAGTCCATGTTTTAAGGTTGTTTTATTTTTGTATTTTTTTTTTTTGAGACAGAGTCTCGCTTTGTTGCCCAGGTTAGAGTGAGTGCCATGGCGTCAGCCTAGCTCACAGCAACCTCAAACTCTTGGGCTCAAGCAATCCTGCTGCCTCAGCCTCCCGAGTAGCTGGGACTACAGGCATGTGCCACCATGCCCGGCTAATTTTTTCTATGTATATATTAGTTGACCAATTAATTTCTTTCTATTTATGGTAGAGACGGGGTCTTGCTCTTGCTCAGGCTGGTTTCGAACTCCTGACCTCGAGTAATCCGCCTGCCTCGGCCTCCCAGAGTGCTAGGATTACAGGCATGAGCCACCGCGCCTGGCCTATTTTTGTATTGATTCATCCCAGTGGGCAGTGGTCACAGTGAATTTTTTTCTAATGCACTAACGCAGAAGTTTTGAATTTTGTTCCCAGAAAGGTATCATGGGTTTCAGACAGTAGTAAAATAGGAAGAAGGATTTCATGAACTTATTTTCTGTCTTGTCTTCAGTAATGAACTGTCCCCCCTCATCTCCATTCATTTGGGAAACTGCAGGATAGTTTTGTTTTTAGCAGTATCAGTGAAAGCAGAGTCTTTCGCCTGTGGTCATGTGGCATCTCAGCATTGCAAAGGGTTGTTCTGGTTAACATGGGTCAAAAGTCAGTAATATATTAAGTGTATACAGCCTGGTATAGCACAAGTGAGTCCTGAATCACTAACTGCAGTGGGCCTCCATGTGTTTATGAAGGGAGGAAGTTCAGTGATCTTTGGGTTCCTTCCTAGACTGAGTCATTCATCCTTATCCATTTATTAGGCAAATATCTGTTGGCAGTCTACTACTGGGGAATATCATGGTGAACAAGACAGGCACAGCCCCATGCTCTGCCCTTTTTTGAGGACTTCACAATTGGTGTGCTGAAGGTTCATGCAAAGGCAGGTGTTAGGTGGTGGCACTTGTTTTATAGTTAACCCTAACAGTTGGCACTGCCCAGGGGAAGTTTGTGTTGTGGAGTTTTCCATGTGGTCATCTTTCATTTGATTCACTGCCTACACTGTCCTTGCTCTCGTCTCACACTTGTACTCCTAGCACTTTGGGAATGGGAAGTGAGATAATTGCTTAAGGCCAGGAGTTTGAGACCAGCCTGAGCAAGAGGAGACCCTGTCTCTACGAAATATAGAAAAATTAAATGAGCATTTTGGCATATGCTTGTAGTCCCAGCTACTCAGAAGGCTGAGGCAGCAAGGTTGCTTGAACCCAGGAATCTGAGGTTGCAGTGAGCTATGATAATGCCATCACACCCTAGCCCAGACAACAGAGTGAAACCCTGTCTCAAAAAACAAACAAACAAAACTCCAAAGAAATTGGATGTTTTGGAGCCCTGAAGAGTCGTACTTTGTACCTCAAGGGCTGTAGGCTACCTGGGATTTATTGAGCCCCAGCACAGGGTACTTACTTTCTGTTTGTAGTGGTTCTGGAGAAGCCCTGGAAGGTTTGGGTACCAGCATTTTCATCACTCATCTCCAGCTATGTTGTTACTTCAGGCACTCACATTACCTCTTAATTTCTGCTTTTCTGTCTCTGCAGTGGGGCTGATAGCATCTCCTTTTTCAGATGGGCAGTGAGGATTGAATGAGGTGACTGAGAAGCTCTTGGCACCCTCCAGTGCCCATTAATGGCCACCGTCTGTTCTCTGTGTGGATTTCCTGTTGATCCATACCTTGGGTCCCAAACCCCAGTCAGGGTAATGCACCTTCATGGCATCTTTTGAGTTTCATTGTTTAGTGTCGGGTACTGTGTCTCGTTGGTCCTGGGATGACCTGCTGCAGCAGATGGATTCATTCCCGGTGCAGAAGTCCTCATTAAGCACATAGCCTTTACTTGTGTGGTGTCATCACCATGACTGCCAGCATCTCCTTTCAGAGTTTCTTTGCTTGGATTTTTCCCTAATTTTAATGTCTTTTTCATAGCATACCTTATGTTTTAGTCTGTGGTGGCCTTAGATATGGATATTTGAATAATTTAGTTGTTTAGCAAGTTACTAACTGGGGAATGAAGTTATTTTGAGGTAAGAGCCTCTCTCACCCTGAATGTTGATGCTGCTAAAATAACAGGTGTTGTCAACTACATAAACTATGAGTCTAATTTCACAATAGTAAAAGACTGAGGACAATCCAAATTCTTTGGTTATGTTGGGATTTTTGTTGAATACAATTAGTAGTAGGTTATTGAGTGTGCTTAGTTATTTTTTAAGTATGTTGCAATAGTTTTTATTTAATGGCTTTTGACTTATAATAGTGAAAAATACAAATTGTTTCTAGTCCTGTCCTTTTTTTTTTTTTTTTTTGATACAGAGTCTCGCTTTGTTGCCCAGCTCACAGCAACCTCAAACTTCTGGGCTCAAGCAATCCTGCTGCCTCAGCCTCCCGAGTCGCTGGGACTACAGGCATGCTCCACCATGCCCCGCTAATTTTTTCTATATATTTTTAGTCGGTCAATTAATTTCTTTCTATTTTTAGTAGAGATGGGGTCTTACTCTTGCTCAGGCTGGTTTTGAGCTCCTGAACTTGAGTGATCCGCCTGCTTTGGCCTCCCAGAGTGCTGGGATTACAGGCATGAGCCACCTTGCCTGGCCAAGACCTCATCTTTAAAAAAAAAAAAAAAAAAAAATCAACCTCTTGGCTGATCAAAGATGAGTCATAGTATATTTCAGTATTTTCATTTACCATAATTTTAGATTTTTGTCTTACAGTTATGTTTGTTTTTGAAGTTGTAATATTTTAAGTTACTAAAATTGCCTCAGTTACTAAGTAATGATTAGGGTTTTTTTGTTTTGGAGGGTCTTTTTGCTTGCTGTAGCTATAAAAATTCCTTATGCCTTTATGCAGTGAATTTGTTCCTGTTTATCCTATTTGAATCATACTTTTAATAGTATATTTAAGCAGGCGAATAAAGGCAGCAAGCTTCCATCTCAGCCTGAGTCCTGCCTCTTTCAGCCCTTCCTGAGGATGTGCTGCATTGTATTGCAGAAGCTAGTAAAGGAATCCTCTCTTTCAGTGCCTCCAGGTGATCCGCTTTCAGCAGCTGGCTCTGCAGGGGAGACCGGTGCCATTTTCCCAGCAGCTGTGTTCAAAACCACCCAAAGGTACCTGTCTTTTTTCTACCATCATTAGCAGCATGAAGTTTATAGGAACTATCTCCCACAGCGATTATCCAGGGAACGAGGAGCAGGAGAACTCAGGCTGCCTCTGTCCTCCCCTGTGCTAGCTTCCATATTGAGCCACATGACAGCAGCTTCTTCATGCCTTTGTGGTTTTTTATATCCCAGTAAAGCTGACGAAAGAGAAACTCCTTTAGAAGCAGGTTTCTAGGTGAATATTTTGGAAGGTATGGGAACAAATTTTTGTTTCTGCATGTCTTGACTCCGAGGACTAACCAAGTTCTCATATTTGGAAAGTAAAACAGAGATGATGTGCAGACTGTAGTTAGCTGAGAGCACATTTGTCTGCTTAGAGCCCTTCAGAGAAGGCCATGGGCCTATGTTTAGTGATCCAGGGACTGTGCT